AGGCCAGTATCAGAAAATTTTGAAACCCATAACTATAGCACCAACAAGGACAGCAGTATCAACAGGGGCTGGAATAAAACAGCAGCAGTAGCAGCCGCCGCTAGTTACTTTAACGGCAAGAAGTGCTACCCCTTTGCATATGTGCGCCACAGCTGCAAGGAGCTAGCTCGTCTTGATATTCCTGCAATCGCTGCTGATGAAAGTGTCGTTGCTCCTGCTGTTGCTGCTGGAAATGCTAGAGCTTGCGTCTCGCCTCTGAGCAATGCTCTCCTTAACATCAACACACCGGTGGGGCAGCCACGCTAGCTGTATCAGCGGCAGCCTGGAGGACAACCAAAAAGACGGTAAGCGTAAACAAGGCCTCCACACAGATCACAAAACGAGTTTGTCAAAGTTCGGATTCCCAAGGCTCCAAGTTTAGTTGAGGTTTTTCTCCCTGCGCACCATTGGGTCCAGTGCGGCCAAGTGCAGCAAGAGGCCTCCCTTTTTGTCTTAAGTAGTAGAGATGTGTTCCTTCATTCGAATTCACTCCGCCCGCTGCAGTACGCAGTCCCCGTAGCTAGTCATGTCTCGGAGCAGCAGCGAAGACGCCGCGGAGGCGGCAACGCCGTCCCCTACCCGGGATGCGCCTTCTACCAACAGCCAGTATCTCCCCCAGCTATGGCCACTGTTGCTGGTACCCCTGCCGCCGCCTCCAACAACGGAAGCCGCACCAAAACTTTTCGCGGCCTAAAATATTTACAGACGCAAAAGCAGTAAATCCACCGCTGCTGGTGCTGAACATTGGCAAAAGCAGGAGGCAGTACACTAGTAGCAGTACAATGTTGCCCTACCGACGTCTCCAAAGGCTCCTTCACGCCTTCCGTAGACTATCCGCAGATAGGCAGTATAGCGTGACGTCAATACCGGAAACACAATGCCGAATCCTACAGTCCAGCCGTGACAAGCTTATGCTACTGTAGTGATCTGCACTAGATCTGCTGCACCCGCGAAAGTCAGACCGTAGCACCAGCGACACCGAAAACCTTTGACTACACACAGTTCCATGCTTTGTAGGGACGGTCACCTGTATGCAAAGCAAGCGCTTGAAGACTGTGTGGCTGTAAAAGATCCGCGCGCACTGTTGCATGCGAACCAAGCTAGAGCTGTGGGGCAGTGGCTTCCGTATTGTCCCACTGTGCGTCAATGTCGCTTCAGCCACAGGCAGCCATCTTAAGAATAAGCTTTGGCTATTTGTGCACTCTTCAAGTTTGCCCAGAGCTCTACCCTAGTTACTTGTTGAACTTATTTATGAGCGATTGGGAAGCAAAATTCTTAGGGGCTGCCTATAATATGGGTCATGCATCCGTATTAACCTTCTTCAAGGGCTGAGCACCCTGAATTATGGGTGTGCAGAGCCCGCACTTGCTTAAGATGTTCGTGTTTAGGGCGCGCCTTAAGCTGCGAAGAAAGCAGCTCAAAGCTCGACCATAGTGTTCGTTCACTATGAGCGCTTGCATAAACCCGTAATTACCCGATGCCTGCCCGCAATAGTATCATGCACCTATCATATGACTATTCTATAGCTGGGCACATGGGTATCAGGAAAATATGCGACACACCTTTCAAGCAGTTCTGCTGGACTGCCATATGTAGCTACATTGAGGAATAAGTGGGATTCTTTCCAGGCTGCAGAGCAGCCAGTGTCCTCTACGGAGTCCGCCAGCTTGCCTAAATTTCTGCAGATTCCCAATACACTCTGGGCCCTTGTGGCGCTTAGCTCTATCAAGGCGTCCTCCTGCACTAGTAAACGGTGTGCTGAAATTCTGTCTGATGAATTCCATCAGTCGAATGTTACACTTCGTCTCACCCGCTCTAATGCAACAAAGGCTAACTCCTTGGTTTTTGTTGGCGGGCCGTTCAGCACGCTATTTTTCGTTGCTAAGCCAAGATGGCGCTTTCTCTTGGAGCTGTGGGAGCTCTGCTGCCGCAGAACAGAGATCATGCAAGCCTTTCGGAGTACTTGATGTCCACAATTTGAAGGCCACGGAGAATGCGTTTACTGCACTTTATATACGGTCCTGCGTACATGCATTCACAGTGGCGAGTCGGTATGAGCGTCCCTGATTTCGCAGCAGAGCTACCATGCAACTAAACAGTGCACAATTCCACAGTCATAAGCCATTTCAAGGTCACGAAAGACGAGAAAACCCATCAATATACAGGAACTACGCTTCTCAAACAAAAATTCCAGAAAACTAGCAGAATTGGCTGAAAGCGACCTAGTTCAAGTGTCCACCCGCTCCACGCATGCGCGCGGAACAACCAAGTGCTCAGTCCCTTTGCGTCTGCATCGCTGAAGAGGTTGCCTAAAAACTGGAGCTCTCCTCCAATGTGCTGCAGCAGCCCATGTTGCAGCTTTCTCTTTCGCATCGCGACAGGGAATATCCAAAAAATTGCCCCAACCAGATGGTTGGGCTCCGGCTACTTAGTGGCAGGGCGCCGAAAAATGAATTTGAAGGCCTTATGCAAACCCACGGACTGGGAGTGGGGAATAGTTCTATTCACGTGGAGTTTCCACAGAGTTTCGGAGAGTGAGAATCCAACTGGAGCTTAAATCACAAGCGAGGTATTATACGAGCCGTTTAAAACCACATACACCAGAAAATGTTTGAACACCTGCCGCGTAGGCAGAGTAGCGGACGCAACCTGAAGTGGTATGCGGTCATTCACTTTTCTACAGGGTAGGAGAGAGAGTACCTGCTGGCCACTCACCTCCCACAGGCGGTGCTCCAGAGGAATACGAATTACTAAGCTCATTGCATGGCTTTGTACTGGACTGAAAATGCACTGGCTTTGGTAAGGCAAGCTGGTGAAAGCGTTATCCTGCATGCGCCCTGGTAGTTTGTGACCAACTTTCCTTGGAGCGTGCTATTTTGCGACCTGCAAGGATAAGTAATATAGATAGTCTATTTCAGTACGAAATGAACATGCCTTTTTGCTTATATAATAGACTACAAGTGTAATTTGGATGTTTGTACTGGGATCGGACAAGTAGATGACTGTTTCATTCGAATGATTTGTGTGCACCAATCCATCCTTTACACGCGACCTACGAATGATTATAGTGGGAAATGCTTTCGCCTTCTAATTTTATAAAGCCTGTCAATAGCACGTCTCTCCTTGCTCGTTTTACAGGCTTATCCTTGCTTATTTTCTGCTCACGGTCATTGTCCGTGGTTAATTGTGCTAGGATTATTTACTCCTAGTCAGACTCAGTGCTTGCTTCCATTTTAGTGTCCGTCGTGTACAAAAACTTGAGGCGGAAATAACTGCAGCAAATTAGCAAGTGAGTCGGTCCGCCAGCTGCAGTTCTCGCGGTTTCAGCCGCCTTCTGAACACGAAGCAACGGGGAGGACTTTGCGCAGCCACAATTTCATCGAGTCCTCAGTCATCAAGGAGGTTCATGCAGATGTGTGGTAGCCTCGCCCATTGGAAGTTTCTCGCTGCCTGGTTCCCCATAATTAAACTCAAATAGGACTTGAGAATGACTGTGGACAAGCAGAAAACTGGAAGAATAGCAACGTACTTTGAGACAGCTCCTTGGGGCCAAAACGACGCCGAAGAATACTGGGCTAGTGGGAAGGCGATTGCCCCGAAGCTTGAACCTGGCTTGCAGGCAGCAGCGCACGTGGAGACGATTTTCGATGACCAAACAGGTGTCAAGTGTTGATTTTTGATGGAGCTGACTATTCCTGAAGAGTGCCGAGCCCTTTACAGTAATAAAACTCCAGTTGTTGGTTCAGAGGTCTAAATCGCGGGGCGTGCAGTAAGCGTCCCACTGAGCATGAAGGCATGAGGAGATATTAATCTAAGGAGGGTGCTTATGTATAATTCGGACACGTTGTCATAGCAGAAACATAGGCTGATTTTCTTGTTAACATAGAGTGTGCAAGTATTTCATGGAAGAGTCTTTTTAGCGAAGTGGTAATAAAGTTAGGGAAGACTTTTGCGCAGACTGCATTGGAGACCCTTGCTATCCTTGGTGTTCGGGATGTTGAACGAAACACCGAAGCTCATCACTAGCTTTTATTCCAGGAAGGGGTATCCCACAGCCTCTAAAGCAAAGTACTACGAATAACAGAAGCTCCCTTCATCAAGAGGTGTGGCATCACATCACGGTGCATGTGAATGTCATAAGGCCTTGGTAGGGTTGTTCAGGCCCACCATGGTAAGAGGTAGTGAGTGTGCTCATCGCAGATCTGGCCAACGCTCTCGTCTAGGAGCTCCACAGTATCTTCGTCGTTTTGCATGGCATTGCCGATTGAGTTGACTTTTGATGAGTAAGAGAATTTATGAGGGAATTGCCGAAGAGTTCGATGCCACAAAAATTTAAAGAACACGTTTCCGCAACAGTTCCTCGCTCTGGCTATGTGATGTCCCCATGGTGCGTTGGGCGTGTTGGCATAGGAATTTGCTTTCCATGACTTCACAACTAAGCTGATCTTCAAACAGCTGGTTTGCGTTGCACCCATTGAGCTCCAGCAACCGCAGGGTGGAGATCACCTTCCACTGCCAGGGGTCAAGATAAACTTTTTTTGTTCCTATTCCAGCAATAAAATTTTCGTAGGCTTTGTGCGGAGGTCCAGTGGTATATAAGCCTTCAACCCCTACTCAGGCGTTCGCAACGAGGCCCTAGTGTACAAATGCATGCCAGCAACTAATCCACTCCATCAACACATATTTGTTTACAGAGCACTAACCGTCCCTCCACAGTAAGTCTAACAGGGAGTCCCCCTGGCAAAACCACTATTGGACAGCTGGGGACCTAGTCTGGCATGTCGGTGTTATGTGCTGTATTCATCTACAAAGCACCAAACGTCGCTCTGCTCAGGATGCCTCCTATGAGGCTGTCACTAAAACCTGTAAGCGCATTAAGCGATAAAAAATCATTGGAGTCGCGAAATGGGATCGAAGGTAAGCGATGCGTATCCACGCACACCTCCGTGGTTGGCAGCTGACTAAAATGCAGTAGTAGTAACCGGTTGTACATCACTGGGCGTTGGTTCTACCTCCACAGCAACTGGAAGCAGTTTGGCTGTAGCATCGAGGTTGCGTTCAAAATCTGTTGCCAAGAGAGACCCTAGTGTGAGGGGAATAGCAGGCTTGACTCCGAATGGTGAAACGGCAAACAGGGTACGGAAGAGGCTGGAGGCTACTATCGCACCAACGGCGCAAACAGATCCACCTGCAACCGCTGCCAAGCCTGCCGCTGCACAGAGAGCTCCAACGCCCGCACCCAAAAGAATGGCAGCAGACGTCTTGCTAAATAGGAAACGACGGACGGTGCGCACACTACGAAGAAGCATTCTGCGTGCTCTTGCAAGTCTTCCTGGAGCAGGGAGAGTCTTCTGCATCTCCTTACGCAAGGCATATACACCCTTGCCTGCATAATAGTGCATACGCAGCAGCTAACAAAACAATACACGTTACAGGACTAAATCAAAGACGCTGAATACACTGAGTTCACAATGTGTCTCACCTTCAACCTTGAAGAACAAGCCTGGGTGGGTGTGGATGAAAAGGCAGAGCTGCTGCTCAGCAGTTTCGAGTTTGGCTGGCTCTGTCTTTGAACACTTTTCATATAATGCCTTGCGCACGCAAACACGTGGAGCATGAGCCAGCAAGTAGTCTCCCTTCGAACTGTGATGTTCTTGAAGATAAGTTGCAAGCTCGGATCCCGCCTGTGGCATCCACACGCTTTCAGGAAGAAGCGTAGTAGCCACGACGGGCTTGGTGTATTTGTAGACGAAGTAAGTTGTACCAAGCTTCTTCTCAGTCAGAGCTTCCAGCATGTTTCCACTCAGGTTGCCGCCACACGGCAGTCCCGGCATCACGTACGGTCCTGCGTCGTCATACAAAAGAACATGATAGGCTCTCTTTAGGAAGTGATGTTGGAAGTTCCATCAACCTACAATAATCCAAGCACAATGCTTACCATTTTGTTTAAAGACGCTTTCAAATGCAAAGAATGACACCCCGCGGACGAAGTTAGCTATGTTTGGGAACTCTGGCATTAGGATGGAAACGGCGTCTGCAGAGTCTATGGCCATGTAGCCAATGCGTTCAACCATTCTCTCCAAACCACTTTCGTCGCTTAGCACGGCGTTGCCAACTGCGGTGATTTTTTGATGCGTGAGAGGATTTGCGAGGGAGTTGCCGAAGAGTTTGGTGCCCACGTTACTTTCATCCACGCTCTTCCGCAAGAGCTTTTCAAGCCGCTTCATCTGTGTAGTTTGACTAGTCCTGACTGAACGCACGCACACCCACGTAAATCAGCACTAGCATATGAGTGCCAGTTAGATCGTGTTGAACCTGCTAAGCTTCTTTCCGGTCTGTCCAATTCAATGCCCTACCGAGATCAAAGTACGCGACAATCATAGCCGGATCGTAGACTCCGGGGTTCGATGAAAGGTTCGCCGGGATGACGGATGAGAATGCTGAGTACAGCTCATTCCTAGCGCTGGATCCCATTGATTTGTGCGAAGTGCCATTTTCTAAGGTGGACGCTGAGGCGACATTCCCTTGAAGAAGAGCGAAGACGAGCAGAGGCTCAAATGCAGCTGCTTTAGAATTCTTGCGCAGTACTATACGACGAAGACCATCAAGTCGTTTGGCAACCTGGCGACACGCCTGGCCCTTGAAGTGGTCATGCGTATTCTTGATAATACCCGCAAGAATGTGCTTGGAGTCAGCTGCATACCGTACACTACGCAGGGGCTCCACCCGAGTTACTTCGCCCTCTGCGGGTTCCTTTCCAAAGCTGGTTTCCAAGATCTTCTGCTCTGCAGGCTTGTGAATGAATTGTTCTGGTAACAGAAACTTAAAGAAGCTTGAAATTCTCTCATCTGGAGTCAATCGCTCATCCGGTGAGAAGTCAAGTGCAAGCCCAGGCGGGGGCACAAAGGTCCTGAAGCAGCTCTTCAATCCTAAGAAGACAAAGATTCAGAGAAAAATAATGCTCATCGCATACCCAAGCACCCGCTCGGACGCGCTCATGAGGATGTCGATTAGGCTTACCAGCAAAGATGTCAACGAATTCGTCCTCCGTTCGGGGGCCCTTAAAACCAGCTAAGTTCAGGCGCCCTACAAGTTCTGACAGAGTGAACGTCCTAGTGAGTTCCTTTAGCTCAACAGGCTATAGGGAGAGCACATGCACACACATACACACACATTTTGAGCTTCCAATGACCCTCTGCGTCTGAAAGCTGTGGCCTTGGTCGCAGTGCCCTGTGCAATAAACCTACCTTTGGCGATTTCATCCATTGTAATCTAGTTCGAGCCTGCACACAAACAGAATGCTCAGCACCAGCAGTGCTCTATGACGGCTGGGCTGTTTTTCAATCGTAGATGCGCAACCTATATAAGGTGGGCCTCACTCCATTCAAGCGCTCCCGAATCCAGTTTTGTGTCGTGCCTATGACGCAGGCAAGCCGCCACAGTCACATTTAATCGCATACAGCAACCAGCAAGGCGTCTACTCTATGTGAGCTTTAGTGGAACTATGTGTTGGTGGCTCTGGTTTCTGTGATTATGTAAACCCACTATGGACAGCGCTGGCTGGATTTGAGATCGCAATTGCAATCGCCACTGCCAAAAGCAGGGCCCTTCCAAATGTAAAAAGCCTCATATTTGCCGAACTAGCCTGCAGCTGCAGTAGAACATCACATAATCTACAGGTCGGCAATTAGTGTTTGTTGCGTCCTTAGAGAACGTGACCACCTGAGATCTTTGTATACATGAACTGGCGAATCGGGAAACTGGACCTACTTTCTACCCAGATGTTTTAACGTCTGTACAAGTAGGCGAGTAAGGAACTGGCTTCGAAAGGATTTGTAGCTCAGACAGTTCTTCGAGATTTCGGCCCTCTTCTTCGCGACCAGACCAATGCGACTGCTCAGAGGGCTTCTCGAAAAAGAACCCCGAAACTCTCTATTTCTCTCACGTCCCCACAAAACCATTACAGAATTAGATGGTGACGCACAATGTTTCGAAAAGGTGGAAGGCGGAGTTCGCGAGTTTCATCACAAGGAGACAATGCCGGGGGATCGGCTAATGGCCGGCGAGCAGCAGGCAGAGGCCGCTTCCCAGTACTGCTTTAGCTTCGTGCAGTATGAAGGTCGTGTGTGACTCTCCATTGTTTTTCTATGCTTCTGCTTAAACTAGGTCTTATATTTTATACACGTATCAAGGTTCAGGGTAAGGTGGTGACCGGCTGCGAGCCTCCAGCTAAGCTCTGTGTACACACTGAAACCCTAGACAGGAGTGGTCAAGCATAACCGATGCTTCATGTCAATGCATATTTCCTGATATAGCCTTCAACATAGCATTGGGATTACACCGCATAACTCGCCACCAATCAAAGGTATCGGAGTGGCTTTATTGCTACGGACCGCCACCCTGTATTCCAATCCATTGACCACATGGGCAAATAAGGCTATTCAGAAATCCATTGTGAAGGTTTATTTTACAGGAAAACGTTATAACGCCGTGAGGGGCTGCTTCGAAGCGGCCTTTTTCTTTGGATATTACTTGGGGCAGCGGAGGAAGTGGCTAATGCTCATGTGTCTGGTTTCAACAAGGATACACAATGCCTTGGACGCCCCTGGGGTCTTTAGCATTTTAGCGAAGCTTCTGCTGAGTACACTAGTACTAGCGTGCTGTTGGCGGTATTTACTGATGTGGCTAAAAGCTTTTTGGGCACAATTTGCAGTTTCCCCACAAAATCCCTCTCGTACTACGTGCCTTACTCCCTGCCTTGTACCTGAGTGGAGCTCTCAAGCTACTTTGAAGGAAGAGAGGCAGCTACTGCAGTTGCTGGCTGTTATGCTTCACCTTGTGACATTCGTGCACGTCAAAATGCTGACTGCTCCATCTTCGCTTTTGGTGTTCGCCAGGAGTGATGACCTAACGCTTAAATAGCGCCCCCAGCTGCTTGCTTAGTAGGTGAGAAGACGACCAAAGCACTACCTAGAGAAGACGAGGCTTTGCATGCCCATTCTCTCTCATGGCCCCCGATCCCAAACAAAATTTAGCTCGGCTGCATGATCATCTACATCGGAAGATAAAGTGGCTTCCCCTCCTAATAAACACTATTAGGCAGGATTGGGAGCAAGCGTATCCTTTATGATCACTATAAATGGGGGGCCTGAGCACCCCAAGGCATCTTTGAAGCGCTTGACTACAGCCCCAACAGGCGTCGCAGCTCTACACCAGCTAGCGCCGCTCCTATCCTAGTGCCTCGGTCTACAAACCCGGGTACCCAACGACAAGTTCTTCTAAGAAGTGCAGGTACTAAACATTTCTAGTCCGCTGCTGACCCCGCTCAACAAGATGGGATAGCAAGTGTCTGCAATGGGAGCTGAGTGCGCGTGGGGAAAGATCTCGAATCCGATTACTTTGTTTAAGCTTCCTTCAATCGCTTGCGCCTGCTTTCACACAAAGAGCAACCTATTGTCCTCTTGCGGAAAGCACTTCAAATAGGCACCCTTGGGATTAATGTGTACCCCCACGTTTTCAACTTCGATGGGGAGGCCTCTGCACGCCCGCAAATCAAACCAGGTACGCCTAAACATTTTTTCTATAGAAGATCCAGTGATTCATGAAAGCAGCCAGATTCCTCCAAACTCAGCATTTAAAGACTGTTCGGTCATCGGAGAAGGCCTCTGCATGCATCTGTTGTAAGTCAAGTTGAAGCAGCGGGCTAATCGCTTCTCCATGGCTTAGGCTGTGTCGTTGACGCTTCAGCCACAAGCGTTTATCTGAGGAAAACGATTATTGGATCGTTCTTAAACCACGTCCTTAGTTAATTCAATTTACTTTCAATCTTAACTATGGGGAAAAGCGCGCGATTATAACGATGTCCGGAAGCCTATCCTTCCTCACAATCCTTATATTCGCGCGAAAATCCTCAAAAGCTAAGCACATAGACAATAACAGTTGTACGCTAGCGTGCTTTAGGTGCTGAGGGCTTTGACAGGCTGTAGGTGCTATGGGTGTCAGTGTTTGTAGCGCGGCCTCACCTGTCAAGGAGCTGGTGTCTCTATCGCATTAATATTTCACTGCATTCACAGACCCATCGACAGCCCACAAGGCTCAGGCAGAAGCAAAGTCAAGGTGGCGAGATAACTCACTGGTAGAGATAGACTGTAGACTATAGCACGACGCGATTGACAAGCGTGCCGGTTAACCCCGAGACAAGCATGTCAGCCACGTGCTCCACAAAACTTGGAGGCGCCAGTGATTACTGTAAGAGCTCGGCGATAAGCAATTATGAGCCCAAGTATTCTAAAGTGCTGGACTATATCAAACCTATGGTATGAACCAGAAAGGTTAAGAGCACCTAACAGAAAATACCGTAAGCCTTCTCGGGAAACGCTCTTTCAGGCGAGGGCTTGAGATCTTCGAAGCCATTGAAGCAGTCTGCGGACATACGGCGTAGATACACAACCTGAAGGAAAACCTCTCGTCTAAAGAACCTCATAATTTTGAATACCTGTAATGAAAGGACGATCGGAATTAGTTTTTAAAGTGCAGTAGTGGAGACGACAGACTGAAACATAAAGAGCAAATACATCAGCAGCGGGAACACGCCAACCAAAGCGCAGTCCTACGCATAGAGGATGAAAAGGTTCGATTGAAATGCCTGAGATTAGAAGCACGCGGATGAGAGGAAAGAGCAGTCTGGATTGCAGACTGATGATCAAAGCACGATGAGCATGAGGAGGGTGGAGTGGAGTAGCCATGTGCAAGATGTGGGTGTGCATGACCAGAAGGCCGACCGTAGTAAGGTTGCTGTAGGCGAAATCGCCAAGGGTTGTGCTCTGATAGTACACATCACAGGATGGAGAGACAAGAAAAAGGCCTTGGGCCTCCATCACTGTGTACATGCGCTGCATGTTCGGTAGACGAATATACGCCTTCAAGGTTATCGGTTGTTGTGTGTAGCGAGGGGTCAAGGTACATGCTGCGTGCTCTAGTGCAAAGGCAAGAAGTCTGGGCTTTGTCTGACCCGCTAACCAGCATATCTTTTGCTGCGTGAATCCGCTTCGCAGAGTTGCGCTCGATGCCACCAAGCTCTACCCCCACATTTCCTTCTTGCTGTTTCTGGGGATTGCTTCAAGGTGTGCGTTGCTAATCAAGCCCTTGCTTTCACAGTAAGAGAATTGTAAGGCCACCACAATTTTCTTGTTGCCGAACTGTCAGACGGAATGATCTTCAGTGCTGCATGGCTATGGCGGGAAACAGTAGTCTGAGAGTTAAGGAGGAGTAAGCCACAAGTCCGGAAAGGACGTGTAGTCCACTAGCTACCCTTAGAAAACCTTTGCAGCAGCGAGAGAGTGTACTTGATAGCTCGTTCTCCACGAAAAACGGAATAAGCAGCCCATAGAAACACGGCCGGAGCACGTCTTCAGTTGGTGGCGGGGGTGCAACGGATGCGCTAAAAGCCGGAGGCAATCCTTGCACTATTGGAACCCAGAAGCTACAACGTGTTCGACAACATCTTAGATATTTGCGCGAATACACCGGCTACTTAAGGGGCGGCAGGGAAAAAAAGAGGCAGCAAGGGTCTCGACCCTATCAAGAGATCTGCCTGGTCGTGACTTTCGATAACAACTGTACTGAGAAGATAATTGTGGCCAACGCGCCTGCACAGTCGACTCCCAGAAAACCGGTACAACACGATCTCCTCAGGTGAAGCGCAGCGTAAAAGATTTAACGCAGAAGGGAGGAACTAGGCAGGTCTGCGTGTCAACACCAGCCATAGGAGTGAGCTATCGTCCCTTCGAAGAATGGCTATTGCATGGGGGAAGGAATGTGCAAACAAGCAGTAAAGCAAGTGCGCTGCTTCTACCGTCACATGTGTGTGAATGAGTTTCCCCTGCCCTGCTTTCTGAAAATGCCATGGCTCATACGTGCACTTTGGTGTGGGGCACGATACGAAGTACTGGGGCCATCTATTGGCTGATTCGAAAAGAGCTGAAGCCCAGAGGATGTTCCTGCATGCCTTGAAGGGGCTCTTGAAGGACAATGTGTAAACAGGCCTTGCTTTTATCTTTTTTCATGGCACCATCCACAGCCATGGCTCTGAAAGATGGCGCATAGGCCAGGCAGCAATGCCGTATAGTGATTAGTTACAAGAGACTTAATGTTATTACATTACCCCCACGCTAATACCAGTTCAAGAGATGCTAAAAATGTTGCGCGAGGTCAAAACTTTTAGGCCGATAGACATTGAGCAGGAATCGCACTAAATACCCACGGCAGGGGAGGATCAGTACAAGACTGCATTCCGTACCTTTTTTGGCCAGTGTGCATTCCTCAACGCCAGACCCTTCGGCCTGCGAGGAGCTCCTGGCACCTTTCAAGCACTAAGGCATGAATGATTGATAATCTACACCCTCAGAAAAGTTATTAAATCCCCCAGGCGACTTTCTGGTCTACAGCTTTTAATGCAACATCTTGTGCATCATGTGAAACATAGCATGCAAACTCCTAACACACAGTAGGCCCGGCCCCGGTGTTACTAAAGTACGGCGTGACCCTGCATTGTAAAGAATTATAGCTGAAGTCGCAGCTTAGTCAATGCGATAAGCACGGTGTCACAGTTCTTCCCACTTATATCAATTCAACGGCGGTCGATATCTTGGATCTGATGGCCGCCCATCTAGTATGTGACCATGGGTCTCCGCCTGTACTTGTTTCCAATCGTGATCAACGCTTTTCTCAGCGCTTTTGGAGCTCTGCTGCGGAAGCCTTCAGATTATGCAAACCTTTCCATGTGCCTTTTTCCAGAAACCCGACGGCCACAGGGAACGCGTTCACTGCACACTATACCAGGTCCTGCGTACATGCATCCCAAGCGACAAGTCGGCATGAGTCCCTGCCTCCCGAAGCAGGTCCAACATGCTACCTAAACAGTGCACAAATCCACAGCCATAGTTAACTACTAGCTTATCAAAGGTGAGAAAACCCATATGTATAAATGAATCTAAACGTTGTTGAGTTTAAACGCAAGCATGATGAGAGTCTTACTCTAAGTAGTTGAGTGCGCAGCAGCTTATATCTTGCAAGCTCGAATAATACAGAACCGTTTTTAAGACAAGAAACACAGAGGACTGGAATTCGCTGAGGTCAATCTAGTTTGGGTGTCCACTAGCTTCAGGCATTCGCGAGGAACACCCAAGTTTCATGCTTTTTACGTTGGATGCTCCAGGATTCTGCTGCGCTTTGTGAGTTACCTACAAACCTTAGCTTCCCTCCACTCTGCTGCCGCATCCTACACTACACGGTTTTTCCCTCGCATGGCTACCGGCCACACCCAGAGGACAAGCTTTAACCAAATGGCTGAGAGCCAGCCTCTCTGGGCATGGGTACTGTTCGATCGGATTTTCAGGTCGAAGCCCTACCGCAAAGCCATGGACATTAAGTAATGGGATATTTCCAAATCAGATAGAGTAATTAAAGGGCTTCGTGACATGGGAAAATTTTGGATTCTGAAAAGCAACCAAGGCCTTACCCGAGCCTCTAGAGCCATCTGTGTCAGCAAACAACGACTAAACAATTGCTGTCTTGACGGCATGGCCGACGCAACCTGAAGTGATGAGAGAGAGAGAGAAAAAAAAAAAAGGTCTCGGCGTGCACACCACCCAAGAGCGATACTCAGGGGAGTAATGGGGAAAAGCTATAAATTGGCTTGATGTTGACCGCAAATACATCTGCTTTGGGAGTGATGAGAGCGTTAACCTGCATGCACTCTGGAATGGTGTGTCCAATTTTGAATTGGATCGTCTGACCGTCTGCGAGAGGCAGCGATGCATTTCGCTTGCTTGACCATGGGATAATCGCGTTGTTTCGCTCCAAATTTAGGCCAATAGTGCTATTGCATATTGCATCCTGGCATCAACAAGTGCATGGCTACTTCACTAGAGTGATTTGGTCTGCACCAATCTATCGCCCATAAGCAACTCACCAGGGGTGAATACGGAAAGGGATTTGTTTTGCCATCTTATATAGCCTGTGTATAGCACTTGTGGCTATATGTCTTGTTTGATATTGCTGGAGGCATCTACCCACAGTCAGCCTGGACGTCAGCTCTTATTTTCGTGTCTTTCCTCACCTCAAGCAAGGAAGGAAAGTAGCTGTAGTGTACAAGCAATACAGGTACACCTCCAATTGCCTTCTTCGCACTTGAAGGCACTCTTAAGAGTCTCACTCTAAAGAAAACTATATGCGCTGCGCGCTCACAATCTATTAGGGCCTTCAGCAGCTACCAGAGATAGGTACAGATGCATGCTTGTCGACGTCATACGCTCTAAAAGGTTTTCCGTAACTAGAATAATTGCAAGGACAGGTAGTCTTTTAGTTTTTGTAACAGTTGCGTACCCTTTTCCCCGTAGCTAGGCTTGATAAGGAAAGTGAGCTTTACTGTGGGCAGGGCTGAAGATGCACAAAAAACAATTCTTTCAAATAAGCGTTTCATGCCAAAGGGGCATCGACGTGCACCGTGCCAGCGCAGAAGCATGAAAATTCCCAAGCTTCAGCGAACTCAGCACGCAATAGTGTACGCAATGGCAATCTTTGCTTACCCAACAGCTTGCAAGTATTTATTTGGTCTAGAGTTGGCCATTTGCTTAAAGCACTGCATCGTTTGTAGTAACAAAGATTTCTCTTAGGGATACTATTAGTTGACTTGCTGGCATGTAGCGGCGCCCGTGCGAAGACGTGGGAACAAAGACCAGTCCCCGATGTTTATTAATAGAACATCCATATCGATTTTCAAACAGGAAAAACATTGACCCTTCTGAGACAAAGTTTGCATGGTTGTTGTCCAAGGTTTCAAAGTGATCGTTGAGCTTAAGACATCGGCACAGTGAATTAGCCCGAATTGCAGACCCTTGCTACCCCAGATTCTTGAGGCGGTGGCGTAGGGCTGCGCTGGCTGTTGGGGAGACAGCATTGAACCTCTAAGGATATTTTTTAAATCCCCACGGCCTACGGCTCTGCTTAGCAGTTGTGATTATGTAAGGTCCTCGTAAGGATCACGCATTTATAGGAAATTCTGGGGTTACAGCCATTTTTGCAGTCATTCTAGTCATTCAAAATTCGTATTAGCTTATGCTCAGTATGACCGCGTATCTGCACAAACGACCTAGGATGCTGATTGCCATTATTGACGACAGGAGTGCAAAATTCTGAGTATTTTAGGCGGTGTTGCTTATAGTACGCCCTCAACTGCGAAGAAGAGTGGCTGGAGGTGCCACTGTACTCGTAGTTCACTACACATCGAGTGGGCAAAGCTAGACATTGGCTCTTTTCACTAAGCTAGTTATGTTTGTTTGAGAACTCGTTAAGAACCAGCTATTCCATCCAGCTTTTCGTCCATTTGATAAAAGTATACTACACTTAGTCCCCTGCAATGGCAATAACCGTTGGGTGCCTGCGCGCTAGTGGTTATCTGCTACTAGTTGTGGGTACTTGGAGTCCTTAGTGCGTGAACCTACGCGCGCTCTAGCTGACCCTCTCCCCTTGTGTCGGAATTCAGGTTGATAAGGACAAGGTAAGGGAGGAGTCCCTTTCAGAGAACACTCAGTAAGCCTCCAGTACGTTTTGTATTGTGGTTGGGCTATGTCTCCCCTTATGGCAACCCAAAGTGAAGGGCTACTCCACTAGTTACTAAGTGCTACATGTACAAGTGACCCACCACCCTAGCCGTCTCACTGTAATATGTTGGTCAGCACAGCGCACTGAAATTTGCTATAAAAATTACAATAAGCAGTCAAAATTAGCATTGTGGTCCTGGGCGCTGGGGCTCAGTGTAGCCGCTGCATTATATATGCTTTATTTTGCTCACCTGCCTCCAGGATTCCTAGCCAGTTGCTCACGGCGCCTGGAACTCGTGGGGCAACTTCTTATTTACGTTAAATATGACCTCCTGTTGTTCTCTCCTGCTCGTGCCCCATATTTCTGCCAGCGCCATACTCTGTTTTCGCAGGGTGACTGCATGGTCGTACTCTTCTGAGGCCAGAGCATCTAATTCCTTCTCAGCCGGGAACGTTATACCTCCTAGCAATCCTGCCTCGTGGTTTGAGGTTCCTTGCTGCGGCAGAAACAAATAGCCTTGTCTGCTAGCTGAGCTTCTTGAGAAGTCATGTATACTTAGCTCTTTATATCAACAGTTTGCACGGGGATCATATTACCTGCTCCTGTACAGGCCCCAGAAAAGTGCTAGAAGCCTGCTTGACTGTTTGGCTAGCGTGTGTTGCAGTTCCACCCACTGAGGCAAGATGAGATACTTGTTGCTCTGTCGTTGATGGATAGCAGATCACAGTTTCGTGATAGCTTTCACCAGACGGCCACACAGACATAGGATTGCTAAAGGAATTTCTCCCAAGGCTACAGCTCATGGGGGGAATATCTGCAAAGGGCGGTATTATGCTTTGGGGGACATTTCCAGCCTTTGCCTCCACGGCTGACTGAATCAAGCAGAAACACGCACAGCGGAACCCGTGCAAGCAAAGTCTGAAAAACTAGGTTCGAAGTAGAAATGAAATAACCGATCTTTGTTCTAAAAATACATAGGCATGTTGCGAACTCAATTTTTAATGGGAACGGCTGTGCAGATTCTAGGCATAGGCTTAGTACATCTGGCCTTATCCTGAAGAACATGATACATGCCAGCTGTTGCACGGGCATGTTAATGGTGGCTTCTAAAATGTTGTATTTATACAAAAATAACACCCAATGCGCACCTGAAGAAAGCAGTAGGCTAGGTCTGACTCTACGAAGCTTGGCATTGGCAGACATGCGCATGTGTCTGAAGGTAGCTCCTCAATCAAGCGCCAAGCTTCTTCCACCATGAGAGATGGGTCAATGCGTGACGAAAGCATCACATGCTGGGCTTCATGACTGTATCGTCGAGCTTCTATCCTTACGACTTTACTCTCTCGCGTATCATGTGGCACCCCGGAGTTCAACGGAAAGGCCCAATCACCAGGTGCGTTTTCAAGCAGGGATGGGGTCGCTACTAAAAGAGACTGAATCACATCGACGTCCGTGACCTCAAGCCCTCCGGTGTACGTAGTAGGATCTGCCTTCTTCAGTCGAAACACTTCAACGTCACACCTTGGCATGGGTGATAAAGGAGTGTTATCTTGCATGCACATGAAAAGCTCCCCAATAATTATCTTCTCTGCTCCCCAGGACTGGAGGCATGGAATGATTTGCCCCTCCCATTCTCCGGTGTCTCCTAAATGATGCAAGTGCGTCGGAGGCGCAAGTCTAACACGCCATTCGCCTTCTCTATTGATTGATTCCACTATGTCTCTTCGTGAGCCTGTAGCTGTGTCTACCAGTCCATCACCAGCTAGGGCATTTGCTGTCCTTGAACTGCCATGTGGTGCATTATCGTGCCATTTCAGAAGTTCAACTCCACCCCTGCTTACATGAGGCCCTTTCCCCCCCTCTACGGTGGGCTGTCTCTGGAAGCAGTCCATGTCAGACCGATCTGATAGAGCCCCAGGCCCTCTTATATGGTTCTGTTGGTTTTTGTGTTGCCGAGCAGCTTGTTTCGGTTCCATGATCGTTTCCCGCTTCATCCCTTGGGATTCGAGCCAAGTGTGCATCTTGAATAGTCGACGCGCTGCCCTAGCCCGAATTATTTCTACTGCTGCAACATGCTGCATCCGCTGCCTAAGCCCGCTATACCAGAGCCTCCGTATTAAAAATTGGTCATGGGAGTAATAATTATCGTCTGCGGCGAATTGTGTGGTTTCTTGCAAAGGAGCAATGGGATTGCTTGCAAACGTGCAGAAAGTACGCATTCTGTCTTGATACTGCAGTTGCCTCAATATCTGTTTGAAACATTTTGCTCTCTTCATGTGAAACGTCTTGGTGAGGGTAGCAGGGGGCATGGTGCTACCTATGAGTGGATTTGTCCCGAGGCTTTGTATTTTGAGAGCATAAAGCAGGTCATCCCAGCTTTCGTCAAGGCAGTGCCACAACATCACCGTATTGCCCTCCCTGCCTCCAAATCGTCTTGTCTCGATTCTGGTGTGGTCGGTGTTCTTGCCGTCGCAGCTACAAGCGTGGGCGGGCGAGCGGCATTGGTGGCAAACCAAAAGAGGTGCATGCCGCAGCATGCACATCTCCGAGCTGGCCCCGAGGGAAGAGCCTGACAGGTCCACGTGTTCCTCTACCACGAGCTGCATACAGTTCTGGAGGCTACACGATCAGCTGCATGTGGTGATTAGCTGTAGGCCTCATTGCCATGTTTGTTCTGGCTTGCGTTTATACAAACTTTCCTGCAGCTGTCGGTCTATGCTCCCCGCAAACAGCATATAATGAAGCGAGACTTCTTTTGAAACAACACTCCCTACGAGCAGAATTCTCGAGGGATGAGCGACTTTTCTCCTTCTACATATGCAACACAGTGATAAATCATGCTTTGAGAGTGGGTGCAAATTGGAGCCAATAAAGCATGGGGGTCTCCACGCCCACTATCCCCTTTTGCGGTGCCATGAAAAGGGGGTGAAATCCACCTTGCTCCTGCGCCGTGATTTCTGCAGGCATCCACAGGGTCATGAAAAATTAGTCAGCTTTGCCTCACGATGCCTACCTTTGCTTTGCCCAAGTCCAAAATAAGAAAGATGGAATTCGTACAAGCCTCCATGCTTTTTCTCCGTAGTATAATACCCTCACTTGTGGTGAACTCGTCCACGACACCTTACTGACCCTGTAGCGGAGTGATTTCTTCACTGAAGTACGCTTCTTGCACACATCCTTACAATATGAAATTTTTCGCACTTCGATTGTCTCCTGAAGTTAAAGATCTGCACTGCAACTGAACGAAAACCACGACCCGAATAACACCTCACTGGGAACCTCTGATAAAGGATGGAAATGGACTTGGAGGCGCCGTTTCATGCCAGCACAGAGCTCCTTCTACTTGGGGCAGATAAGCAAAAAGAGCATGCACTCTCATCGCCATTTTCTTAGAGCGGAATATTTTTTGTAAAGGGTTCTGCTGTGAAAGTATCAGAGCCTCTCGGACAGTATAGTTGCCACAACCCACATGGAACCCAAGCTTGGGAGGCGTGGCTCTAAGCACTAATTTTTTGGCTGCAGCTGATATACCCATACCACACCCGCTCTAGTGCCTCACAAATTAATGTGATGTGTCTTTTGTTAAAGCCCCTACATGAACCACATGCGGCCCCTAAGATTTGCTGGAATCTGGCATGCCGCAGTCCCATTCGTGCACCTCGAATCTTTGTAAAGTGGAGAGACAGAGCCGAATAAAAAATCCTGTCTTACATTATTTTAAGGTTTGTCGGGGTTTAACCACTGGACAAGAAGGGTCCCCGTCCTTCGGGAATACCGGAGCCCGGAGCTGCTTTAAGCTTGACGCATTTATGAAAATTTCTTTAAACCAACTCAGGTAACGCTATTTCTGTACCACTTAGAGCCACGTATTTGGTCCTATCATGGCTAGGACCCGAGCAAATAGCATGGAAAGCCGATATCGACTCCTTGATCAACAATATGGCATGTTCACGTAACAGGCTGGACTGGGGATGGTACTTACCACGCTATGCGCCCCCAAGGTAGCTAGTCTTTATGATAAATTTTCATTGACCGGAAAGGATCATACAGAATTTCAATACCTAGCCATATTCATGTCCCTCATGCATGCATGTACCTACCAGTCAGTCCCATGATTCACCGCCATAAGCATGCATCTTGAAGGCAATTCCGATCATTAGATTAAACAATCTGGACAAATATTTTGAGTCTGGTTTATGATGAATTCTACCAGCATATAATCTTATCATAATGAAAATTTTGAATGTGACAACCCCGCCTTAGTATCCACCATCCTGGCACTGAGCAGCGTAGGAGGAATAGCCCCAACTAGTAGGCTGCACCCCAATCCGGCACCGCAGCTGTAGGGCCCACAGCCGCTTTGCTTTCCGTATCGCCCGTTATGACATATTTGGGCCCCAAGTTACACCGTGTTCTTGGACACACGCTGGCTGTAGCGGGCTGACCTAAGCGTAGTTTTCTGCAGCGAGATACATTAGAGTAAAACAAAACACTATACTAGTTATATTAGTCAAAGATTTGTTATAAGTCGAAAATTTGATTTGACGGTTTTTTCAACTCACGTAGTGATGGGTACTTATAGCTCGGAGCACCTAGACGCAATGGTTTGTGTGTCCTAGATGCTCTGTGCAAGTAGCTATGAAGGCTCGGAGTGCTTGAATTCTGCAGCGAAAAGGCCCCAGCTGTCCGTTTTTCCTTATCTTGGCGCTGTATGGGGTGAGGGCAGGGTGCGGGCGGAGCTTGTACACAAACACTCAAATGCTCTCTTTCGACCAGTAGGAAGTCTGCAGTTAAGCATCTCCTTACGTACACTGTAGATCAGTTGTTACATGTTCGCAGGGCGTGGCCAAATGTACCTATTGCCTTGCTCCCCCACTGGCTGTGGATGCAGCGGGATGTCACGTTTTCGTACAACAGTTGCCTCCATTTTATCAAATTAATCGACATTCAGTAATGGGATTATCTTGACGGCAGTCCAAGAAGAACACGTTCTGGCCACGAAGGTTGACGGGCCTACAATGCGTTTCCAGGAGGCAGAGGCCTGCTTGCAAGCTGATTGGAGCACAGTAGCTACTCAGTTGGTTGACACGAATTGCCAGCAGAAAAATGTTCGATCAGGCGATGCGGTTATGCACACCAGGAACATATGACAGCTCTATAAATAGACACTTGCTCAAACACCTTTTCATTTCACTGGAGATACACCTTGCTTTGTAGCCTCAAAATAAAGTGAAACGGGTTTCCCCTGCGGCATGATTATTGGACGGAGAAGCACTTCACTAGGAGTTCGATGTAGGCAGACGGATTCGACTACGTACAGGAATCACCGAAAATCGTTTAGTGAGGGCATCCTGTCATAGGCAGGGTTGTGGCCTCTAGGGATAGCCGAGAGGGGCTGGACTGCACCCCCAACATGCACTGAGACTCAACGCCACTAAGCTCCTCTGCTGCCCTACAGTATTTGAGCTAACGATAGAGTCGTGCCTACAGAGGCTATTGCCGCAGCTGAAAGGCGTCCTTTAAATGCTAAGAGCTCAGGAAGTAGGGGCCGTGAATGCTCACTAGGGCTCACGGGTTCTAGCTGTAGAACTAGGTTATTTTTGCTGTGTACTCGCCTTGATCATAATCTCCCAAGCTTTTTTCGTTCCTGAAATGACTGCGAAAAAGAGCATTATCCCAGATTGTATTGCAATTCTGTCACATTTTCCTACAGTCAAGCTTTACTGAGGAACTAAGCCAACTGTGGGCAGGGCTAAAGCGCACTAACCTCTCTTCCCACTAATTTTACTTGTGTGTATTGTTGCCTTTGGCGATTCCTCCTACTTCTAAAATAAAGCGTGGAGCGAAGTTCATACTATAGAATACAAAAGTAACAAAATTTATTTAAATAACCGCTTGTGGCTGAAACAGCACTGATGTTCACTGCCCACTGGGGAAGCGAATACCCACAAGCTTCAACTTAGATTGCAGGCAACAGTGCAGGCGCACGCTATTTTCAGTAACCCATCAGTCTGCAGGCGTTGGTGTTGCATAGATCTGGATGGGTCCTTGAAGCACAGGTCGTTTCTAGAACCGAAGATTGATGTTATTGGTATTATGAGCTCACCTATAGGGTTACAGCAGCCGTTCAAAAAGCGTGAAAGTTTGAAAGCATAGACGAATCCCAGGGCTGTGTAGATAGAGCAACCCCACTGGTTTTTAAAATAGGTATTGCGTTAAGCTATTTTGTCAAATAGTAGGTTTGAGAGGAGTAAGCGCGGAGCTTGGGACGTCCAGAGGCGCGATCAGCCCTCATTGCACGCCCTTGCTACCCCCTAGTTTTGAGGAAGCTTGAGACACTGCGAACACTCATCGGCAAGCGCCACTTATGTAACAGGCTGTGTTTAGCTTCTTGGTATGTGGGGAGAGGGAGTGGATTAGGAGCGGAACTGGCTGCCCTAGAGTTGTGGCAGCTCTTGGATGATGCAGTCGAGCCTAGCAGGACTTGTTAAAGACCCGTAGAGCCCACAGTTCTGCTTGATAGTTGTGAGCAGGCGAAATGCCCACATGATTGGTAGACGATGGGGTAGCTCTGGTGACCTCACAATTGAGCTGCGCGGCGGTCTCCCTGGGAAGAGCTGCGATCGGTGAGAGTTACACTCCAAGCTGTCACAGACACCATAGTTTACTATATTTATCAAAATATTCAACGAAGGATAAACGTGAGTTAATTTTTCTAGAAAAGGAAAGCACTTACCTGAGTGGTTGGGGATGGTATTGTCCTGCACTAGCACATACTCTGCCTGAAATGCTACCTGTATCTGTGTTTTTGCCTAATACCTTTCCATTTATTGTTGTTAAGGCGTTTTCTACACTCTGATTTATGGCCATGCACCCTCAGATATCCTGCCCCACACTCTTCCCTATGCCTCTTTAAAAAGTTAAACGTCGACTTTGCTGCATGCCGCGGCTGTACTGACATTTAGACATTGTGAGATTGGTCACGGAGGCACCGATGAGCTGATGTGCTTTAATTCTTTCGATTTCTTCTTGGTCTCGTAGCAGGGGGCTCACACATCTCGACGCTTCGGTTAGAGCAAGACACCGCTTCTCTGTGATCGTGTTGGTTTGCTCCCCCGTCAGCTTTCGGCTAATGCATATCTTTTTTTCGTCAATATCACGCTGTAGCCGCGCGCAATTGCACTGTTCTTGCGTTTCCGCCGACTTGCAGAATGGCGTTCGGGCAGCAATTCTCCCATTGTTCTGCACGCATTTGCTCTCAGTTCACAGGCACGAAACATGTAGGAGCGTATTTTGAGATGCAAAGGAGACGATGTGTCGGGCTATGCTGTACCTAAAAACTTTACACTAGTTATATTATCAAAAGAATTAGTCGAAAATTGATCGATTGGGTTGCCTGTTCGTATACCTTACTTATTACGGAGTATTGATAGCTCGGTGCCACACGAGGCAATGGTGTTTTCGCGTGCACTAGATGCTACTTGCAGCTAATTGTGAATTCTCGCAGTACTTCCACATTGCAACCCGTGCTCCCTAGATGTCCTACCACCAAATCGGAATCTTGAGGGTTGCAGGCATAAGGATTATGCACCTATCTTGAGCAAAT